AGGACAAAAATGTGCTTTACAAGTTTCATTAGATTAATTTCCCTTTGTACCAGAATCTCCTCCTATATCAGCCTTTTTTCCCCCATTGAAAACAGATTATTGAATGTCACACCTTAAAATAGCAGTACTGATGTGGAGTCTGTGTTTGTCTTTAATATTCAAATAAATATGACTTAATAAACATGGAGCTGTTCTGCAACAGCCCCTCCCGCTCTGGAGGTGTTTGCAGAAGGGGCCCTTGGCTGGATTTCTGCCGCCCATGCAGAGGACAGTGATTGGCTGATGTGTAACTTTCTGACCCTGGGGTCAGCCATCTAACTGTCAGACGTCATTGGAAGGAATTTTGGGGATGTGTCTGGAAGACAAAGCCAGCACACATCCATCCTGTCCCTAAGTCCCTGGAGTGTGTGTGTAGGCGTGCATTATATATCGGCGCTTTCAGAGCTGCTGTGCGTGGCATAAGAATGAATTTGTATAATTGAGAAGCAAAATAACAGACCAGTGATTCATGGAACTTATTAGTTTTGATGTCAAAGAAACATTTTGTGAGCACATTCTTGGATAAAGTTGAGAAGTACACCGTGGTGTCATACTGATGTAGTCAAGTGGGTGTGATGCAATAAGGTATTTTTCTTTCCTGTTGGTGGCAACATTTCCAAATGAATCACAATCAACACCATATTCAGTCCCCTGTACCAGTAAATATGCCTAGCTTTTTTTTTTTCTCCCGAAATTAAATGATCGTCACTTAATATTTTTATGAATGCTGGGCAGCCTGAGGTCGAGTCAGCCATATTGGTGCGAGCAATTCAGATCTGCAGCAGCCAGCGTTGGAAAGTACGATTCATTCAGCAAATCGGCTCGCTTGACCCGTCGCTTCAATGAATCGATTCACTGATTCTTTTGAGTCATCACTCCAAAGAGTTCCCAGAAGTTGTTTTTGGAAGTAACACATATAGCCTACAGTAGTCAACATTTGAAGTGGATCAAAACAGTTAATCAAAGTTGTCCTAAGACAAGAACGCATTTTGGTTTTAGGTTTTAGGACCAGTACAGCCGCTCCCTATACGCAGAGGCTACGCAGTTTGCGTAGGGCACCAACTCCCAGGGGGGCACCATTGCAGTTGCTCAAAAAAAAAAAAAAAACGTTCGTTCTATATTAATATTAACATATACATATACATAAATAAAAATCTAAACATTAACATATATATTATATATATATAATTATAAAAAATGCATTTTATGATGAACGCAGTAGGCAGTAAGCATATGTGACGCGCCATTCCCGCATCTGCGCCATCTGCGCCCGCGCTCGCGCTTGCTCTCACCTCATGTTTGCGGCTGAATACAAATGATCATCATAATGGACAACTAGGCTATATCAGGGAAAAGACATCAGCGCAGTCCGGCGCAGAGAAAAGAAAAATAAAAAAGCCCAAGATGAAGCCCGTGCATCACTTTCAGGTAACTACGTTCATAATCCTGTGAAAGTTTTTTGACTGTTGACGTTAGTAACGTGTTTTAATGTCGGTAATAATTACACCACCAACAACAACGCATCTGACTTAATTTTCTAGTTTCCATGACTTAAAATGTATTATATAAAAACTACGAGGCATGGTATATGGTTTAAATATGGTTTCATTGAATAACACTGTTAAAATACAGTAATATAAAATAAACAATTTACATTATTACAAATGCCTGCAAACGGCACCAAAGGCCTGATAATTGCTGTTGTTACACTTCACTTGATCAAATCCTTGTTTAATATTGACCAAACATTTAATTCAAATATACACTTAATTTTTAATTTTGGCCACCTATTTGCGATAGAAATGCTACAGCCTCTTTAATTTCTTCAACAAACACATGTGGACATCACAATCCTTACCAAAATTAACCATGGTTTTTATCGTAGTAAAACTGCTTAATATTATTTTGTGTGATTTCTGAATGCTTGAGACCATAAAATCAATCAGACAACCATAGGTAACTGTCTAGAGCTACAATTGTAATTTATAAATATTACACTTGAATTACAATTTATTTATTTACTTTTATATTTGATTAATGTTCTATTTTGACCCCTTATAATAGGTGTTTTTTTTTTGTTTTGTTTTTTGAGGGAGGGGGCACAACAATACTATTCTGCTTAGGGCACCCATTTGGCCAGCAGCGGCCCTGTTTAGGACAACTTGATGAAAGGTTTTGATCCACTTCAAATGTTGTCTAGTGTATATTGAAATTCCTTTTATCGCTATCTTTTATCAAGTTAAATGTGTTTGTTGTATTTATAAATTTATGAATCTATAGATTTAGAATCCTAGCTAGAAATGTTAAAAATGTGTTGCATTTGATGTTTCGCTGGAATTAAGGCCATGAGTTTTTTCCCCCCCACAGATAAATGTTCCTACCCGTCACTTATGTGCCGTTGTTCATAGTTATCATCATGCCATTCACATTCGCTTTGCGAATCGGTTCTACGGAATGATCCAAAAGAATCGGTTCAACACAATGATTCACTCGCGAATCGGTCATCACTAGCAGCAGCGAGAGTGAGAGTGAGAGCAAGAGGGAGGATTCCGGCTTCAGATCCACTACAGACCCCACGGAGCCTGGACGGACCCACAAACAGCGCTAGCACGGGATACA